AAAGTTTGATTTTTGTTTTAGTTGATAGTTTATTCATAAAATATATAGAACGTGTGATGCATTGGCCTTTCTTAATTTATCTTACATATATAAAATGTTAAAGAAAAGTGGTTCTTTAAAGTCGTAAAATTCCGCATTACCGAATTCATAATATCTTGTAGTGTTCAAGCTTCAACAACAATGATAAAATAAAAGCAACTTATTTAAAAGCCAGTTAGAAACGACTGTAAATAAAGTGGAACTCTTTTAACGGAAAATTGCTTAGAGTATTTTCTGCGGAAGGACGGATGTATAAAAGTAACATTTCCTGTGATGAGGTTGTTTTGTCTCGAGGAGCATATCGCTAGAATGATGCACAAAAATCTCGTTATCTAGTTGTTTTCTATGGGACTTACGTTTTTTAATAAGTTCTAATTATTGTGATAATTATACAGAATTTATGTAAAGTTTTTACTTACTATCTCTTAATAATATATCAAAATCTTTTGTTTGTAGCTAGAGTTACTAAATAATATTTCTTTCTTATTTGAGAAGTTAATAGTCATTATTAAAAAATTTAATATCATTGATGGCAGTAGAAGTAAATGAACATAAAGTTATAAAAATATTTTCGAGGGATTTGATTTTGAACCTATCAAATGTTGTTAGAGAGATAAAAAACTAAAACTGAAATATCAAAGTTTGCTCGTAAAATATTAAGCCCTAAATGTGAACGCGGCTACGATATCTAGATATTTTTAAATTGAGTGATACAAAAAATTCGTGTCCGTTTGGCAATTTTTATGGGATGGATAGGCGGTGTAAATGTTGATACGTGCCAGAACCAACGAGTAAACTAAGTTATACAAAAAAGGCAAACATTGAAACAGGAATCAAAATTTTATTACACATAAAATTATAACCTTAGGGTTATTTAATAAAAGATAAATAGAAGGAAATAAATAAGTGAGTCATTCCCATCGTATCGTAATTGGGTGGCAGAGGTCGTAGCACGTAGGGCCCCGTAGCCTCGAAACGGCCTCGATTGTAGCATTATCGTAGCAACCTCGGAAACATGTTAAAAATGCATGTCCGTTATAGTTATGTAAAGTAATCGCCACACGAACCTAAACTACCAAAAATTTGAAACAGTTTTATTAAAGCAAGACGGAACACAGTGTCGCCAATGTAACGTTTTTAAATCTCACTTTTTCATACACTTAAAAACATTGATATACAGTTCGAATTGCGTTCATTGCTTTTAATAATTTATATATTATACAGTTACAGTGTTACATGCAAAACAGTACTTAAATAGTATATTGTTGTCTAACCATTATATAATGACGTGCGCGCTCGGTGAAAACATTTTTTATTCTTATTTTCTTGATAAACCAAGTATAAAGAAAATAATAAAGAAAATATCGATGAAAGTGCAGATTACAAAGGTTACTATTTATAAAATCAAAGGTAGGTTAATAAACAAGCCTTCAAGTTGAAGGCTCGTTTAAAAATTATAGTATAAAACCTTGAAGGTGATAGGCTGTTATAGAAAGTTCTACCAAAGTGCCAAACTAGTTTGTATTAGATTTTCCTACGATGTCTGTCCTAGAGTCAACCAATTTAAATTTTATTTATACTTCATTTTCCAATTCAATACAGTTGTTACATTTGAAAAAAAAAATATTTGAGAAATAGTGTTTGATTTAAAACTATTTCTAGAACGATTTTCTCCAGGTTTAAATTAGACAACATATTTACATTGAATATGCCTTATAAATTATAAGAAAACCGTTTTAAAGAAATAAAAAAAATATATAATTTTTAAAGAAGTTTATAGCTACTTTATTTAATATTGCTCTTGCGCTCTGATCTACATATAGAGTATATTATATTTGATGGAGACACGTGCGACATGCAAGTGGCAATTTTGTTGATAGTTTTATGTGAAACACGTATGAAAATTGAACTGGAAAACAACAGGCCGAGACGTCACAATAATGTCATAAATAATGAAATGTAATATACAAATCTTTCTAATTTCCGTTCATAATTATAATTAGAGACAAATAATGATATATTCTTAAAATAAATACTTAATAAGTGATAGATATCAACTTATTATTTAGAAAAATATATTTATACGCCTACATGAGCTGCTTATAAAATGTTTATAGATTAATATCTTCATTAAATATAATTAACGATTTGTTTTATATAATTGATTTGTTTTTTTATAGAAAATATTTTAGAAATATTTCTACTTGTATTTATTAAGTACATTACATACCAATTTTGTTGATCAATTTTGCTGTAGGAAACCATATCGTGAAGGCTGATTTTTTTTAAATATCAATTTACTTTAAACTAAAAAATCTTTAATTTTTTTTTTTGGTACAATGAAACTCTTTTTAGGATTTAACGTCACAAGAACTTGATTTAATTTTGACATCGAGAACTTAAGCGCTTGAGAGCTTATTTAAAAAAACAAACTCCATCTTCTATATATATAAAAATGGATTGCTGTTCCTTAGTCTCGCTAAAACTCGAGAACAGCTGAACGGATTTATCTTATCTTAGTCTTGAAATGTTCGTGGAGGTTCCGGGAAGGTATAAAAGCTGAAAAAAATTGATTCATTACTGGGAAAACAATAAAAACAGCCCTTTTCTATTTCCCATACAAAGGTTTTTTTTGACATTAGATTTGACAACTAACTAATATGTCAATTATTCTGTCGCACTTCAACACACGGAGATTTATGGCTTTAATGGGTAAACTCTAAAAATATAAAAAAACGTAATTGATATTTCTTTATTATAGGGCGATACGAAGTTTGCCAGGTCTTCTAGTAAATAATTAATCTACTAATAATATTTTGAATTTTTTTTCATTTAATTAATAATAATACAAAGTGTATGTTTTGGATGATTTATATTTTAGTGGCAATTAAATTTCAATTGAAACAAAAATAATGAAAACTTGGCTGTCAAATCTTATCACATCAGTTTACGAAATTAGTAATCGAATGTATTATAGGGTGATATGAGCATTGTCTGTTTTGTTCTGAATGCGGGCTGTCCAAAATCGGACAGTTGGGGTATTTGTGGAAGGCCTAAATTTTGTAGGGAACGGTGACAGGCTGATTTGATTGATTGGTTTGATCGGCTTAGCTAACAACATGAGAGAACCTTGTTCACATGTAGCTTGTAGGCCGGATCGTTCATAACATGAATAGTACAAAGAGTGAGAAAATCACCCAGAGGTCGTATGCGCTACAGTTTACACTAAACGCCTCTGGGCGGAGTACACTCTGTCTTCACATAAAGCTCTAGGGGAGAGAACGTAGTTCTATGCGGATTGAGAAACACCTTACGTGCTTGTTGTTATAGTTGGGACTATAATGATGGATACATATGAAAAACAAATACAAAATCCCAGAGGATATTTGTGCATCTGCGTCCAGACCAGACATATTTCTGTATTCAGGAATTTTAAAGCCGTTGTGTTAATAGAGCTATGGTTCCTTAGGAAACCAATATCCCCAAAATCATACCATCAAGGTTAACAAGTATTACGGAATCACAACTTAACTCACTAAGAATAGGTTCGTCGTAAATTTGTCCGCGGTAGAAAAGTTAGCGAGATGAATTGCTTTTATTCATTTTTAGTACGTACTTTGATGGCAGTCCTAGTACGTTCGTTTAAAATTTGGTTAGCTGGCGATAGGAGCTTGGACTGTGGGGGTGAGCGTTTATAAAATTCGATAGAGGCCCCTTAAACCTACACCTGGGTCGCAAATCCCATGCACTCTAAAAGCTCCTGTCCCTGCAAAGCGATGAATGCCTCGAAGTTTTCGTCATCGATATATGTTATAACTTTGGCTTGAATATCGAACTGAAGTACCTACGTATTTTAAATGTATAAATTAACCAAGTAAGTTCTTTATAAAAAAAGAGCATATAATGTTGAAGAACTTAATTTTTTTTTTATATCATAATTTTTTGTAAAGGTAGTTTAAATAATCTTGTTTTTATTTGTTTTACTGGTTTGTAACGACAAAATAACGGATATTGAGTTTAATTGAAAACAAACTAATTTGTGAGTCAGTGATTTTGATAAAACAAACAATTTGCGTATAACATTTTTTTTTAATATATAGACCGTATCTTTACTTTAATATTTATATAAATAAATTTAGATTTTCAAGCTCATGCAAGTTTTTTAACTGCGTAACAACATTGCTTAACAAACTTTCCATTAATTGTTATAAACACACGCCAATATGTTTATACTGGCCAGAACATCAACTACATTATTAAACAAGCTTTGAAGCGCAGTGAAGCGGAGTACGTTCGTAGGCACACAGTGTTTTTGTTGTTATTTTTGTTCTTAATTATTTTTCATAATATTTTTTAACATTCAAACAATACATGTTGTTTAATACACATGAAAGGAAAAAAATAAATATTTGATCTCTTTTTTAGTCAGCACACTAAGTCTGAAAGTATTCGTATTATATCTAAATTTATCTCTACTCTTCATTTCACTTTCATGTTTACAATTCTAAAATGAGTTTCCATTTCAAATAAGGTCAACGTTTAAATCTAAAACTGTCCTTGTAGTTTGGAATCTGCGACATTGAATGGCTCAGATTTAATTCACTTGGAACTAAATGTTTCAAGTTTTAATATTCACTATTAACGTTTTTGTTTGTTGCAGGAAAAATGTCATCGATTAGATTGCTGTCTGTTGTAGTCAAATGACAATAACTAGATTAAAGGTGGGTGTTGTTTATAATCTAATTTTAATATAGTATAAGCTTAAAATAACTTCTGGCGCTGTTTATATATATATATATATATATATATATATATATATATATATATATACATATATAAAAGAACAGTTTTACACGATATTATCTACATGGATTCTGGATTTTTACTACCATATTTAAGTACGTAAACAAATAATTGCAGCATATTCAATCAATGTGCGTATTGCAGTGTCGGGAGCGCTCATGAGACAGTCGTGCCACCGCCTGCTCGAACACCAACAGCCCGGCGGGGACGAACCTCCCCTTTACTCTCCCGTCGACCAAATTACAGGTAGGGCTTTCTTTTTTTCAGCCCTTTTAATTTTTTTTCGTGTTCTGATGTTTTCTAAAAGCACCAGTATAAATCCATTTAAAATGATTTAATTAGATACATGAATAAATAATATGGGTTTCTTTTAAAATACCACTGAAATGAAAAAACATTGTTGATATTTTTATCAATATTACTTGCACATCTACTGTATTGAGTTTTTTGAATGCAGAACCGGATGGAAATATTTTTATATAAAACTCAGGTATCAGCATTGATTTTCAACTGAAATCTTTGATACCCAGATAATTGGATAACATAGGGTTTTTGTGAACTTTTAATTACTCCAGGATTTATTATTAAGGATATGTATATTTCGTATTTTTTAAAGAAAATTATAACTTTCACATGAAATATGCCACATTTAGTTACATCATTGTTTGACTGATATTTTTTTTACAATTTTTCATCTCATATTTTATTCAATAAAATAATTTTGATGTTCAGTAGTTTCAAAAAACAAAGAAACAAGTTGGAAAAACCTAGTTGAATGCAGTAGAAATAAAACTGAAACGAATTTTTCAGTAAATTATATAACAAAAAGAAGGTCACGTGGTAACCCTTTTACATGAGGTCGTTTTTGCATTTCAAATACACAATTGTAACAAAAGGATATTTCTATTGTTGGTATAGAATTCTTGCTATGACAAAAATGTGTCGATTGCAGTTGTTTCTAAGTAAGAAGATGTCGGTAGTTGGATTTCGGTCAGTAGAACACTATCTACGACAGGTAAGACATTGTGACGTCTTAGCAATAGAAACAAGTGGCGTTCTTATATTTTAGATTAGGTAAATGATACATATAAAGATATAAATCAAATATAACAGGCCAGTGTACGACGAATAATACACTGTTAACGTTATAAAAACTTCAGGAATTAACATTTAATATTGTTTACTTTGGAATAGGAAAGGTTACATATTAATATAGTATTTATTTTTTGAGATTGTAATGTAATTTTAAAATAAATACAATTGCCTTCTTTGTTTTACAATTTGAGTCATTTTATTTTGTTATGTTTTAATGGTATTCCAAGCAATTAACTTTTCAAAGTATTTAAAGTTAACAATATGAGTTTAGCTCTCGCTTATAATGGCCATTGGCGCTAATTGGCAGTACGGTGATGGCATTTATTGGTTCGATTTTATGCTGTAAAAGGTAGAAGTAAAAATTAACAAGGAAAACAAAATGAAATGTGCAAAGCTTAGTTAAAAATCTAATAGACCTGGAAACTCTGCCAAATAAAATGAGCGCCCACTTTGCACAAAATCTGGACGAACCATTGTTTGCCATATGTTAAGATATTTAAGCTTTAACAGATATCTTAGTTCTGGCGGCATGGTAATTGAATTGATGGGCTCACTATGGGGAATTTACCTACATATTTGTAGCGGCAATACAAATGAATTATGAACTATGTCAATAATTGAATAGTCTAGGAGAGTAATAAGCACTCCTAGACGACTGCAGATAGGAGAATAAATACGGAGTTTTGATACAGCGGTACCTGATCATGTGGGCCGGCAGGCCGGCGGCAAGCTGACACGATATGCGCCGGCGGAGGAGGACGAGGCTACTCTCAGGGAACTTCTTCTTAGGTACGTGTCACCCTAGAGAAATGTCCAAAAACACTAGCTTAACGCCTTTTCTACTGGCTTTGCATTGTCTATTCATATAGGTTTGTGTGGCAATATATCTTTACATTTTTCACCTTGGCTTAGCATCAACAATATCTTTTATTGCAGATATTTCACAGATGCAAAATGCGGTATATGTGTTTATAAACCATCACCCACTGTTCCTAACTTCATAACATCGGACCATAGCTCACCGTACTGTTATATACATTAGAATCAATGGCCATAAGCTGTCTCTTGCCATGACAAGTCCAGCACTGCGTCCTGTATAACATTTCGTTCATCTGAGAATCGACACTTAACCTCAAACAGCATACAGGACACTTTTAAATAAACAAAATGCTTGCATGTATGTCAGTGTAATGTGTTTTGATATATATTTTATCCGTTACCAATAAGTACCATATAAATTAGAATAATATGTAAAATAATAACTTACATTTACCAACTTATTTTTTATTTGTGAAATATATAAGATAGTAAATAAGTAGGAAACAAACAGCAAAGAGATTATGTTTCTATGTTCTGATTTGTTTGTTGTACGTTTTAATTAATTTCATTAATTAGACTACAGAGACTCGAAGTCAGAACTCAATCAGAAAATAATTATCGATAATGAAGTTCTATGAATGACTATAAATGTCAGTTTCATATTGCAAAATGGACCTGAAATTAATATTGCAGCGTCCAATCCAAAATAATTTTGAATCAAAAGAGTAGCTGACGTTTAAATTTAAACTTCAAATTTTCGGATTATATAATATAAACATAAAATATGTATACACCTTTTCAATTACTCGCTAAAATATCTTCATAATATTCGGTATAAAATAGAATAAAATGTTGTACAGGTATTCTCTCAATAGCTCACTCTTTTAAATGGATTCGCAACAAGAGCCTTTGTTTTGCACATGATAGTAACTGGCGGCGTAGCACAAGGCTGAATATTTGAATGGGTCGCCTTTTTCATTGCTTTTCGTTTTTTCTGATAAGTCTCATGTAGGTATACATGATTTATGTAACAGAAGTACTTCTTTCATAAACTTCGTTGTGAGTCGCTTTTATCTCTGTTGCTATCCTTGCTTTTAAATGACTTTTTTTTGGAAAAAACAAACAATCAGATGTTCCTTAAGAAGAATGTTTCTAAACCAAAGTTAAGATACTAATTTCGTAGCTAAAACGAGTATGTACATATGTATGTTTGTGTGTATGTAACATAAATGTTTTATTTGCCATCGATTTGTGGTTGTATAAAATTAAACAGTAACCAAAGTAGGTTAGATGGATATTATAATATGTTTTATTAAATATATCAAATGTATATTTACAGGTAGATAGATATTTATTAAAACCAGTACGATGAACAGTTTCAACGAGAAAATAAATTAAGTAAGCTTTCTTTTTAAAATTTTACATTTTAATATGAAATCTTTCACTTTTTCCCTTACAGGAAGTAAAGTTTACAGAAGTAGATTTTTCATTCAGTTTTCAATTTCGTAAACATTAAAATCTTTCTATTAGTAATGTATCCCAATACGATAACTTCGTGATTACAAAACTATTTCATGGAATGTAAATAACATATAACATTTCTGCAACATGTTTTAACTTCAAACGTTGCTAAAATATTGTGTTTACTCAAACAGATATCTCTTTGATAACAAATGAATATTTGTTTAACTTGAAATATTGTATATATTTTTAAAAATCATATAAAATTACAGTCACTGGAAGTTGAAACGGTAAACGGTTTTAAATATCTACAATGAAGCGTCTAGGTTCGTTTGTAAGTCTTTGTGAAACGTTAAAGAGGGTTTTAACTTCGTTACCAGTCCTTCTGAGTTGTAGCAAATACCGTTGTCTCATTCTCTAAGATATTTAGATTAATTTCCGACTTGTATATCCTGGGAAGCGAAATTTTTCAAGTCTTTAATTGTGATTTAGTATTATTAGAGGTGTCAATGTTTTTGAATTTAATGAAACACTTTTATCTCTATATTTTATTCGGACGTGCTTGTTGAGGCAACTTGTAACTAAAAAACTTTTATAAATCCTTATGTGGATTAAATGTATTGTAGGTCGAGATGAGGGAAGCTGTCAATTATATGAGATCAAATCATACGAGACAATTACTTTCGCTTGAACGATAAATTTACAAATTAGTTTCCAATTATTACAATTTCTTCTTTTATTTCATCACTCCTTACATACTTTACAAATGGTATGTCTATTTCAAATTTTATAAAAACCATTTTATACAACCATTAGTCAAGTCGGGTTAAAAATATAAATGTACAGCTACGCAAGTTAAATTCATAAATATACATTTTTTTCAAGTAATTTCTAGTTTGTATGTTTGTTAGTTTATAAAACTTTGCATCGTGGAAATAACTAGCTACTGTTTTCTTAGTATCTTCGATTCTGTTTTGAGTTTTAAAGGTTTTTTTTTTTAAATGTTACAAATTGTCATAAGAGATGCAACGAAAATCTTTAATATAAGCTTGTATAAATATGCTCCTATAAAAAAAAATCTCAAAATGTCTGAAATAAACTTTTAAATCGAAATAACTAACAAATTTGAACAGGTTAGTATAAGGTTACTCGTATTTTGTATGGAAATTGATCGACTTGAATATTTTGTATTATTTAGCCTAATTTTAAGTCAAGATACATTTTATTTTTCTATATACATTTTATTCCATATCTACGTATACAATATTAATTTCAGCTTGAAATGTCCACACGTTCCTGTGAAAGGGTCTTGTTAGACGAACACACAACAAAGAGTAATCCTATAAAGGCTCCCGCTTCCTTTTGTGGCACGTAACCTAGAAATGTAAAATAAATCTCAGAGAATACCAATACAAAAGGATTACAAAACATAAGTATACAAGACAAAGATCATATATTCTGGACGATTGCAAACTGTTCTTTGATCTATTTAACATTATATGAAATAAACCAGTAGATGCAACTTACATTCTGCAAGAATATTGACGAGAATGTAATTTCAGGCAACGGTAAAGCAGATTTATTTACATTTCAAAGACCTTTGACGAACAGTTATTGGATGTAGCAATTTTGTAGGATATAAACTTTATGATAAAATGGGCTATATTGAAAAATTTTAAAGAACCATGCTTTACTTACTAAGTAAAATGAGGTCAGTCCATACACGGGATAATTTTAATGTGTTGCAGGTATGTAATTCATGAAAAATAAACAAAAATATTTCAAGAACGTACAATTTTCTACTTCATTTATTCGATCTAATTAATTTAATGAATAGTTATTTTCTATTTAGGTGAGTTCTTTCATCGTATCATTTTATACAGTCTATTGAATTACACAAAATACAAATATTGTATACGATATATTCTCTTGAAACACAATATACATATATTTTAACAGTTAAAACTTCATTGTTTTTTTTTTGCCTACGTTATGTTTGAAATAAATGTAATTTTAATTAAGAGTATATAAAAATAGATTTAAGAGTTTTTTTTTTTATAGCTTATAAATGTTTTGTTTTTGAAATTTTTAATCAAACTCAATAGCAGAAACGTAATATTTCTGCGAATGTTCATCATTTTTGACAAAGCTTTTGTCCTCGAAAGGAATTCTGTGAGTTTATTTATTTTAATATTCTATAGATAATTCAGAAAATCATTATTATGGACTAAATAAAATCTCATATATTAAGGGAACTAATAAGTGGAATAAAAAGGACTAACTTAAATTTATAAAAACTATAAAACCTATTAGTCTTACATAGCCAACATATTTTTAATACTATCTTTTTTCAAAACATTTCAAGTTAGGTACATGTAAACCATGAGTGTCAATAACCACGTTCCATCAGGTGGCCCGCCTGCTCGTTGGTCGACCTACTTCATAAAAAAGGGAAAAATCTATATTGACACAAACCAAAACCCGTTTTACATATCTTTTATGTTGGGTTTAATAATAGTTTTTATACTTTTCTTTTAGCTATCATGTCTAACACAAAATATCAGGAAGATATCCTGAAGAAATTTAACAAATACATAGTTAATGTTTATCATAAATCAATATGTAAATGTGTGTGGCGAGTGAAATAAGTGGTACCTAAAAAATCTTTTTTTATATTTTTAACCGGAAAAATAGTAAATAGAGTTTCATACAAAGTTGTATAGTTTTCCTAGTCTGATAATACCTAAGAGTATTGAGTAAAACTATCTATTGGCAGTGACACATTTAGTGGTCACGCTCGTATTAAGCATTGAAATTATAATACTGTAATTAAATAACAATTTACTGTAATTCAAATACCTATCAAAATGAAAATTAAATTAATGTCATTTTGATTTAAAACTTTTCATGAATATGAATTTCATTATTTATATTTCTACGTACATTCATTAATATAACTATTCATTTTAAATCAAAGCCGCTATATTGCGGAACGTAGCGTTTAACTTAAAATCGTTTTGAGGTTGCAATAATTAAATTGATAACAATAAAGTCAGTTTTGAATTTCCATTGCAACGAAATAATAAAGAGAGCTTTTTACAATTATAAAGCTGGTATTTTATTAATGATTTATTATACTCAATTTATTATTTAAAACTCTTATGTTTGTTTTTCTGAAGATCTTCTCAGCCTTTTGTTTGTTAAATTTGTGGCAGCTTTCAGTTGAAATGACTATGAAATGACGAAGTAATCAAGATTTTTTATTTTATTAAAGTTATTACCGATACTTACCTACCTAAATTTTCATATTTATAAAGATTCAGTTAATCTCTCTTTCCAATTCTTAAAGAAAAGAAAATTTAATATAATATTAGTTGTGATTATAGCTAACTCTAGTGTTTTACCTAAATATCCTTAACAATCTACGGGTTATCTAAGAATGATACTCCTAAACACTCGTTGTTGCTTCAGAACTAAGATACGCAATAATCTTTTATATAAAGTCTGTT